TAATACAGATTGTGGCAGTGCCTGAACCAACACCCACAAAATTTCGAAGGCTGAGTCGATGTTAATAACGGAATACGGTAACTGATTACTGATTGCAATGAGGACACCACCCCCGCGAGAGCCTGTGCAGTCTTTTCGATAAGCATTGAAATCCAATAGATCGGCGAGCACTTCCGCGTTGGTGACGTCATTTGTTAGCCACGTTTCCAATAGTATGAGAATACTGCTACCTGATGACTTGACAAGATGAGACAAGTGATCGTGTTTAGGCATGAAACTTCGAGCGTTCGTAAAAATTAGTGAGAAAGAAAAGTTAGCTTTTGATTTAAGGTGACAATCAGTGGATTTAGTTTGACTTCGACACGATTGCTATTTAATTTTTTGCACTGTTTTTGAGGTTTCATTGAACAAGTAGCGTTTCTGGCCTACATGTAGTGTTTTATAGCGCAAAGAAAATGGGCAGGACTTCTGCTTTGTGAACTCGACCAAATGCCTTCTAGCATTTTGAACACGACGTGAGAAATCCTCTCCAATGCTGTATGTCGTTCCTTTCAGCTTACGTTCACTTGAAATTATTTTGTGTTTTGTCTTGTGGAAAGTGAACTTCGCGATTATTGGCCTGCATTCGTTGACTGAGTGGCGGCCCAAGCGATGCATGCGATCAATTTCTTTAGGGTTAATATCTATGCCTAAGTAATGATGACAATGACGAATGATTAGTTCCTCAGATTCAGCATACGATTCCGAAGGATTAGCATCTGGTAGGCCGTAAAAAATAAATTGTTACGCCGCGATCTGTTCTCTGCGTCATCCAAACGTGCCTCAAGGTCATCTGTTTTGCATGCTGCATGCACGGTGCTACTCTTAATTAGTTCGAGCTCTGTCTTTAGGGGCAGCAGAGCTTGGTAATGTTTTTCCATATCAGTGATTCATTTTGTTAGGTCGGAGAGGGCGTGTTCTGTTAATAGTAGTTGACTTTTCAGTACCTGCACTTTCTCTAAGAGAGTCGACTGGCCTGCGGAAAGCTTTTGCAGTTCAACAAGTATAGTAGTATCAGGACCCGGATTAGACTCGATGTCTCCTGATACAAGTAGCAATAACAATCTCATGGCACTGACGCATTCAACCACAGTCGTACAGCAGCAACGTGGGCTCGGCAGCTGCAGCAAGATGTAATTACTACTCTTCTTTGTGAAGAGTGATTGCGGAACACTCACCTGCATAGCGAAGAGCAGTGGATTAGTTGGTGGCGAAACGAAGCAGCCACCAAGCCCACAGAGCGCTGCCAATGGGGGCACACTTTTTATAGCCAGCGAAGTAGATGATGTTGCTGGCGATGGGGCTGACCATCCACCATTCAGGACCAGGCTTTGTGATAGTGGCGACAGGCTGGCAGGCAGAGATGAGATGAAATCCAATTTTCCGGTTGTTTGGTTGATGGCCATAGCAATGTCGAAACGTCGCAATCTACATTCCAGCGATGTGTCCGCAGAGGTGGACACACCGGCAACAAGAAGCAGATGCACGACGAAGGCTGATAACACCTGCATAACGAAGAGCAGTGAATCAGTTCGTGAGTGATGAAACGAAGCAGCCACTAAGCCCATGAAGCGCTGCCGATGGGGCTGACCATTCACCATTCAGGACCAGGCTTTGTGATAGTGGTGACAGGCTGGCAGGTAGAAGCGAGATGAAATCCGATTTTCTGGTTGTTTGGTCGAGCAATGTCGAAGCGTTGCAATCCACAATCCGGCGATGTGTCCGCAGGGGTGGACACACCGGCAACAAGAAGCAGATGCGCGACAACGGCTGATAACACCTGCATAGCGAAGAGCAGTGGATTAGTTGGTGACGAAACGAAGCAGCCACCAAGCCCAAGCTTCAATCAGACACAAGTGTGTCTGATTGAAGTATTATTCAGTTATTAGTCAGCGCTTGCCTTCATGCGTCCATGTCTGAGAGTGCTCTGTAAGCTATTATGGGTCTTTCTGCAGTCCCTGGCATTATTGCTACATTGAACGTAACAAACTAGCCTGAAAGGTCTGTTCTCTTGACACTCAAGCATCTTCCAAGTCCTTGCATCAAAGGACCATGGAATTGCACCAGCTGTCAAAACACGTGAACTGCACTAGGAGTGGTTGGTCTAAAAAGCCAACAATTACGAAGTGCATGGGAGCACTTAATCATTCCCAGCAAACGCATCAACATTTTGTGCAGCCGTGCAGGTTTGCACATTGCCTCACGGAGGTGTAGTGGGGACTGACAAGACCACGCTATTAGTCTTTCTAGATACCCATGTTGTTTCCTGTTATGAAGTGCGTACTTAGCCAATTTTAAACAAAATATTTATGGTATAGTGGGCATTTAACAGCTGTATTTACAGCAGACATTTTGGGATAGTTTGAAACGACCAATTTTATGCACAAAAATAGTTCTTTTTTTAGAGCCCGGCTGAGGTGCCAGGCCTTTGGATCAAGAAAGCAATGGTAAAAGGTAGGCTTGAGCGAATAATTGCACATCTCAAATATTTCAATGAGTTTTACAGTAATCGAATTCGCTTCCCCTCAAATTTAAATTACCGTATTTACTCGCATATTCCTCGCACTTTTTTTGGCGTAAAACCAATGAAAAGTTGGGGGGTGCGAGAATTACGCGGGAAAAACTTTCCACGAAAACATACAGAGTGAAAAAGAAAACAACGTGGCCACGAATCGGGATTCTCACACCAGCAACTATCAGCAAGCTTTGAAAAGTACTAATTAAAATTTGCCTCATCAAAAATAAGAGCAGAAGTTCAACACAAGGCAAGATTTATTTGAAACACAAAAAGTGCAAGCAAATAGTCGAGAATTGGAATTTCATACGCAAAGCTTGTGGCCGTAGCGGTAGCATTCGCCACTCGACAGGAGCCCTAAAAAGGTAAGCGTAGAATGTCAGTATTGGACTGATGGCTATTTAACAGAATCTGCAGTTCCCTTCTGAAGAAATAAAGTTTACCATTAATCCCAGTCTTATGCACACGGCAGGCCAATTGCATCTTGGTGGCTTTCAGCTGCTGTCAGCAGTAGGGAACACAAAACTCGTCGACTCTGAAGGGCCTTCCGGCGGCTCTGTTGCCGTTGTTTAGTGCATGGTCAATCACTTTGAACTTGGAAGCAGCCGTGTAGCTTTAGTATCGCTTCATAACATGACATAACTTACACAACAATCAAAACACGCCGCAAAGTGCATTTGCCGCTTTGGCTTGGCTTGAATCTCTGTGCAATAGTAATAACACTGACGCTTAAGAAATGGTGCCGGATGGTGCACGTTATCATCATCAATGGCTGAATGTTTTATTGCAGCAATTTTCGGGGGTGCGATAATTAATCGAGGAAATAAAAAATCACATTTCTGTTGGGTGATGCGACGGATGCGAGAATTATGCGAGTGTGAGGATTACGCGAGTAAATATGGTATCGGTAATATTAAAGTATTCGAAAAGAATAGATTTGTGCATATTAGGCCAGAAGAGCTTCATTTTGAGCTAGTTGGTATGTCTTTGTAATGCAGTTGCACTGAGTAAAATGCAAGAATGACTGACAGAAAAAGAAGACAGGTCAAATGATGCCCATCACTGGTCCTGTTCTCTTGTTTCGTCTGTCATTCCTCCATTTTGGCCAGTGCAACTATGTTACTACAAGTGTATTAGTCTGTATGTAAACCCCTGCTGAGGTGGTTTCACTGCAATAAAAAGGCACTGTGCATGAGTACACCTATCCAGGAAAAATCTGCACAGCCGCAAAGCCCCACTTCAAGGTAAAATTAATATATATTACCCGTACCACGATTCATCATTTTCAAAAATTTTAAAGCATGTTATTTTCAGGCTTACATGATGTAAGTATAGCATATTTTAAAATATAACAACTATTACAAGTTATCACTGGCATTCCACCAAAAGTCAAACTTTGCTGCTATTTAAAGTTGCTTAAATTTTTTAGCCAAAATGAATAACATTTACACAAGCCTTGTTTAAATTTTAAAAAATACATATTTTGTGCAGGTTAGTTGAGTCTTGACAAATATGATAATTTTTCTTTGTAATTTGCGATGCATACTACTCGAGTTTGATTTGAAATTATTTGACCCAACTTCTACTTGCCATGAACTAGTAAAATTTCTTGTTCGCAGAAGCCAACAGGGTTGCATTAGGCTATCCAGTTGTACTCTTGAAGGCAAAGCTCAAGCGTCCTTCAAGTTCTTTTAGAGTTAGCATGAAAGAAATCGATGCAGGAGAAAAGCACTTACTCGATTGATATGGGGGGTTTAATGTCCCAAAACCACCATATGATTATGAGAGACGCATTTTACTCAATGACTGTCCTTGTCGCCTGACCACTGCACTCTAGATGACAACAGCACTTTTTGTTTACAACACACAGCAAAGCTAACATGACTTTTTGTGGTGGTACCAGACATGCTTGACACAAGTGCTGAGCTCAGGGGAGCTCTGCTACCATCAGATATGACTGTAATTGCTGAAGGCAATGCTGCACAGATGTTTTAATCTGAGCTGAGACTAAACAGGATGACATGTGAACATGCATTAGCAGATTACAAATGATTCTTTTTCTCTATGAAGAATGCAACCCAGCATGTCAAAAAAAATTAAGAAGCATATGCTGTTGTCGCTAGTCTAGTGAATAATAAATGGTGCAAATAAATCATTTTCCAATATTATAGGTTTAGTTTTTTTATGCACCAGACACACTCTGCTATTATTGTATAGCCTGAAGAAAAGCCACACAATTTTTTTGATTTGATTGTATTTGTCTCTGATTCTCCCAAATGTTGCAACATGCCAGCTCGATGATGTGAAAGAGAAAGCAAGCAATCAAAAGGAAACTGTTTGCATGACTGCACCGAAGTTCAGCATTTCAGCTGAAAGGTTCGGTAGGATCGCAAACGACTAACTGTGCTTAACGATTCAATTTATGAGCATCAGAAAGTAGGCTCACCTGTGCATAAGATGTGAGGCCTGTGCAAAGTGTAGACTGATTTATGTCAGCTGGTTGTTCCTCAAAGTGCACGGTGCCTGTTAGTGAGACTTCTTGGGAAGACGCTGGAAACTTTTGGCCTAGGAAGAAAAAAAAAAGTAACATCTCTTAAAATAAAAGCAGGAGGAGCTTTACTGATTCGTTCTATCGTAAATTACTGCATCCAACTGTTATGAGCCCTTGGCGTGATATCTGTAACTTCTAACTACGTATGTTGTTTATAATGCTTACTTACGAGTAGCATGATAAAAGAAAAAAGAAAAAAAATTCAGATCCTACTTTTTGTGGGAATCGGTTTTATTCAAAGCAGCCAGTGAGCCATCATCATAGAGAAGAAGAATAAACTTTATTTTCGTATCCTGCATGTTTGTGGTCTGGGCTAGACCGCACAAGGACGTACCGGGAGACCTTGTCTCTGTACAGCCTCCCTGGCCTGCTGGATAGCCCATTTTTGGTCTTGAACCTCTGAGCTGAGCTGCACAAGTCGCCACTGCTCCCGGAGGACCTCAGAAGAGCTTGCTGATAAGCTGGGGCATTCCCATAATATATGTTTGTAAGACACCTTTTCTGTTACACATAGCTTACATTTATTGTCCGGGTATAAGTTTGGGTAGCTCCTGTGGAGGTGCACAAGGTTCGGGTAGCAGTTCGTCCGTAGCTGTCGGTATTCGATGCTTCTTGCCTGTTTAGACTCGGATGAGGGGCGGGAAAGACGCGCCTTGCTTCTCTGTAGTGTTGCATGTATTCTGTGTAGCTTTTAAATCGGTCTTTGTGTGGTACATCGGCAGCGCCAGGGATGATCGTTGAGCGGTGTGGTCGGGTTGTGCGGCGGGTTATTTCTCGTGAAAACTTATGAGCCAGCTCGTTAGGATTGGCTGTATCAGTCTCCGTGTGTGCCGGGAACCATACGAGGTATTTTGGTTCATCTACTTTGTGTAGTTCTTGGTTATTAACGAGGATTCTGAGGGCTTGCTGTGAAATCCGTCCTTATGTAAAATTTCGAATTGCTACTTGCGAATCGCTCAGTATGAACGAGTGTTTGTTGGAGGTGATAGCCATGGCTAGGGCTACCTCCTCAGCTTCCTCTATATTGTTTGTTATGACAGAGCACGCATTAAATGCAAATGCCGGACGTGTCAATCACGACAGCAGTGTGAGCTTTTCGTTCAGGGTATGGGCTAGCATCTACAAAAAGAGATTTACTGTTCGTGCTGTGTGCTTTGAGCAGTGCTTTTTCTCAGTGTTTTCTGCGGTCTGTGTTGATAATGGGGTTCATGTTTTTCGGTATCAGGTTAGACATGATCTTAGCTCTGATTGTATTAGGGATGTCATTTTTGACATCATGTTGCGCATGGTACATGATCCCTAATCTACTCATTATATTTCTTCCCGTTTTAGTTTTACTGAGCCTTTAGAGCTGGGATATCCGCTGAGCTTCTACAATCTCTTCAAGCGTATTGTGTAGTCCTGGCTGAAGAAAAAGGTCTGTGCTAACATACTCAGGTATTCCTATAGCTTGTTTGTAGACCTTCAGATGAGTGCATTTATTTTGTTAGTTTCAGCTTTTTGCCAGTTGTGGTATGCTGCTACATACGTTATGTGACTTATGACGAAGGCCTGAATTAGACGAATTACGTGGGCTTCTTTCCTACCTCGGTGTTTATTCGTGACCCTGTGAATCAGTCTCATCGCATTTGTGACTTTGGTGTTTAGTCTGCGTATAGTCTCGCCGTTGGCACCGTTAGCCTCGATGACTAATCCCAGTACCCGTATTTTTGTAACTGTCTGTATAGCTGTGCCCTCCTGTGTATGAATCCTAATTTCCTCATATTGCCACTTGTTTTCCTCTGACTTACGTGGTCTGCCTCGGATTGCTGGCCTGTAGAGAAGTTCTGATTTCTCCGGGGAGCATGCGAGTGCTGTGCCTTCCAAGTATCGCTCAACTGTTCCTATTGCTTCTTGGAGTCTCTGTTCTATGTAGCCGTCACTGCCATCACTGACCCATATTGTAATGTCATCCGTGTAGATAGAGTGACATAATCCCAGGATTTTATTTAACCCTTTCAGTAGTCCAATGATGATTAGATTAAAGAGCATTGGCGATATTACGGAGCCCTGTGTAGTGCCTCTGCAGCCCAATTCTCAGAGATCAGATGTAAGGCTTCCTAAGCTGAGCCTTGCTTTCCTGTTGGTCAAGAAGTTTCTGACGTAATTCTAGGCTCGTTCACCCTTGTTTAAGCTTGATATGTGGCTGAGAATTGTTTCATGAGCTGCATTGTCAAATGCTTGCTTAAGATCCAGATTTAGTATGGCTCGTGTGGATCTTGTATGGTAGTCTATGATTTGGTGTTTAATTTGTAGCATGGCGTCTTGGGTGGCTAGGTGACGACGGAAGTCTATCATCGTGTGTGAGTAGTACTCACCATCCTCAACATAGTTGATGGCTCTATTTAAAAATGCATGTCCCATTACTTTTGCTACGCATGACGTTAATGAGATGGGTCGGAGATTTACCGTACTTTGTTGATTGGCTTTGCAGGTTTTGGTATAAGGATTGTTCTAGCCTCTTTCCACGCGTCAGGGTATTTCCCCTTCTGTCCAACATTTGTTTACTTATCCAGTTAAAAATTCTATGAATTCACTGTCCAGGTTGCGTAATGCTCAGTTGGTGACTCCATCCGGTCCTGGTGCTGATTTTACACTTAATTTGTGAAGCACCGCTCTAATCTCTGCTACCTCAAAGTTTTTGTCCATGTTGGGCTTGGCTTCGCCTCTATAGTTTTTATGTTGTGGTGGTGGTGATTTTGACATGTAGATGTTTTGTAGATCTGTCATTAGCTGTTCCTCGTTTCCTTCGTATTCGCGTGTGAGACGATGGATAGTGTGTCTCTGTTCAGTTTCGGTGTTGGTGGGATTTAAAAGAAACCTTAGCAATTTCCACGTTTGTGACGTTCCAATTTGGGTGCCCATGTCCTTACATATCTCCATCCATTGTTGCTCACACAGCTGCTTGCAGTGACTTTCGATGTCTTTATTGAGCTGTGCCATTTTTTTCCGGATTGTTCTGTTGTGTCTTTGCCTCCGCCATTTGTGTTGTAACGCTTCTTTAGTTCGCCACAGATGGATTAATCTGTTATCGATGCGCTCAACTGGGGTATCTGTTTCTACTTCATGTGTGGCTTTCCTGACAGTGTCTATTATGCTCTCGCACTATTGCTGGATATCGTCAGGATGTTCGGTAATCGTTTTTTTGATATCCCGAAATTTATCCCAGTCTAGACGTCTCGTGTTACATATGGTCGTAATCCTGTCGCTATCGGTGAATGGTACGTGTGTTTCGAGTATGCGATGGTCACTTCCTAAATCATCGATGTGTTGTGCCATGTAGCCCCCGGGGCATTCTTGGTTATTGTAAGATCCGGTGTTGTGTCTCGCTGGGTGCTTGTACCTATGCGTGTGTGTGCATGCGGGTCTGTTATCGGAGTAAGCTGTTCATCTTGTATGCTCTACCATAACGGTTTCCCTTTGGGGGGTGGTGTAACCATACCCCCATGCCTCGTGTGCGGCGTTGAAGTCTCCTGCTATGATGAGCGGGGCGTTGCCAGCTAACATCACGGCCTGCCTAAATAGAGAGTGAAACTGCTGTCTGTGATTTGACGGACTGCTATATACGTTAAGAATGCTCCCTTTTGTTTTCCTAGATAGAAGTTCTGTCATTATATGATTGTATCCACATTCTAGATTATGGGTTCTGACCGTAATCTCTCTCTTTACTAGTGTAGTGAGAGCTTTATTTCCTTCTTCACGCTCAGGACTTACTGACTGGTATCCTGGTAGTGTGGCGAGGCCATGCGTTTCTTGAAGTAAAATAACATCTTGCTTGTTACCTCGTCGGATGTACTGCTGGATGACAGATTTCTTAGCCCTAAATCCTCTACAGTTTCATTGCCATATGCGGAGTTGTCGTTTACCACGCCTCATCATCGCTGTTCGTTATTTGTGTGGGAGGCGTGAAAATAGGTGGGTGGATGAGAGGGGTTGGTGGTTTTGTGGGAGTTGCCTGCAGGGGATATGGTGCCTGCGGTTGTTGGTGAAAGTTCGCGACTACACCGTGAAGGTCTGCGGATGTTTTTGGGTTGCGTCCTCGTTCCAGCATTTCTACCCTGGCTGCTAGTGCCGTCAGATCAACAGACGTCTTAGTGGTGGTTTCCAGGATAGATTGGAACGCGGTTAATAGCTGGTCTACTTTTTTCTCAATGTTATCCAAACTTGTTTGTTGCGAGATGCTTTCTTGTTTAGTGCTTGGGGGATCTGTAGTTTTCTGCGTTTTGGCCTTTTGTTTTAACAGAGGGGTAGTTATCTCCATGCGATCGTCGGCTATGGGTGTTCCCTCCTGAATTACAGTATTAGTTATATTAGGGCTTGTGGGTTTGCCGCATTTGCGTTCCATAGTGAGGAGTTCTATTTGAGCTTGCATCTGTTCTATCATTTCTTTCATTCATCTGTTTTCATCTTTGAGCCAATCTAACTCTTGACTGTTGTTGTTATTGCTACCGTGATTATTTTTAACCTCTTGAGGTCCTTCCGGTCGCGAGCCGCATACTCTATCTGCCCAGCTCACCTTGTTTGTTGGTCCCTTAGAGGCCAATCCCGACCTGGAACTGGGGTGGGAGCTTGCAGGGCTGCGGTTCCTTGAACCTGAGCAGAATCTTGTTTGCTGTCGTTTTCCGGGTCTCGATGTCGAGCGCTCTCGTGGACGTCCTCTTGGTGGAGATGAGCTTTGCCTTTGATGTTCTCGTAAGTCTGGCCCATTGTCTCTGTTTTGCAATGTAAGGTTTCTTGAACGTGGCCGTGCAGCTTTTATCGGCTGTAACGTGGTCTTTTCCACAGATTTGACAACTAGGGTTGCATCTGTGGTCGTCTTTGAGGTTGTGAATGCCGCAACGAGACCAGCACAAAGTTAATCTTGGGGGTTGGGGCACACGTCACTTCTATGTCCCAGTCTGTTGCAGTGCTTGCAGTAGTCAATTTGCTTGCGGTATAGCGTGCACGGTATTATTACTCCATGTGATGTGTGGTG